CTCTTCCCCCTCCTCTCGATCTCTCTTTCCCCCTCCCCTTCCTCTCCCTCTCTCCCCGTCTCCCCTTCCTCTCCCTCTCTCCCCGTCTCCCCTCGTTCTCTCTCGCGGTGCACTCGCTTGTGTCGAGCATCTAATAATGATATCAGTGCCACAGGGCGGAATCTCCGCCGCCGCCGCCGCCGCCGCCGCCGTCTCCGCCGCCACCGCCGCTACGGAGCTGATTAACAAAGATCTATACATGACACGACACAAAGGAATTGGCGTTACGTCGTTACGGTCGCTCGAGATCATTTCGTTACCCCCGCGAGAGGGCGTCTGCTGATACAGCTATAGAACTATAGAACTATACTCTATACAGCTATACGCTATAGAAATACACGCTATAGAACTATATACTATAGAATCACACGCTATAGCACTAACCCCTATAGAATTAAATGATATAGAACCTCACGCTATAGAACTAAACCTTATAGGAATTAACGATATATAACTAAACGCTATAGAACTAAACCCTATAGGAATTAACGATATATAACTAAACGCTATAAAACTAAACCCTATAGAATTTGACGATATAGAATCTCACGCTATAGAACTAAACCCTATTGGAATTAACGATATATAACTAAACGCTATAGAACTAAACCCTATAGAATTAAACGATATAGAATCACAACTAAATGCTATCACGCGGTCACGCTATACACACATTCAACGCGTTTTCGTGTACGACAATGTGTTTCTTTGTACAACAATGTGTTTCTTTGTACAACAATGTGTTGCTTTGTACAACAATGTGTTTCTTCGTACAACAATGTGTTTCGATGTCAAATAAACATGTTTTGGTGTCTAATAAATATGTTTCGGTGTACAATCAATGTATTTAAATGCACAATCAGTGTGTTTCGGTGTAGAATAAACATGTTTCGGTTTAAAATATGCATTTCGGTCAACAATCAATGTGTTTCGATATGCAATCAATAAGTTTCGATTACCTTTCAGTTCGATGGTGCGCTCCGTGCTGGAGATGACGTCACCGCCCAGCATGCCGTCTAGGCGGGCTACCTTGGACAGTGGTTCTCCGTTCATATGACTCGCTTCACCCGCCGTCCCATCACTCATGTGCTGAGCGAGGAGGGCACGCCTGCGAGAGAGAGAGAGAAGGTTATAGTAAAATCCGTGTAGAGAGAGAAGGAAGGCGAGAAAGAGAAAGGGCGAGAAGGGCACGCCTGCGAGAGAGAGAGAGAGAGGAAGAGAGCGAGAGAGAGAGAGCTGAGAAGGAGAGGGAGAGCGACGAAGAGAGAGAGAGAGAAGAGAGAGAGAAGAGAGAGAGAGAGAGAGAGGAGAGAGGAGAGACCAGACAGACAGCAGAGAGCGCGAAAGCGAACGAAGGCACGGTGAGAATTGCTGCAGTTCATTCGTTCCAAGCTTAACGTAAATCGCTGCCTGAATATCTAACGCAACGTGATTATACTCCCTCTCCCCGCGCTCCCCTTCCCCTCCCCTCCCCCGCCGCGACCTTGCCGCTGACGGCTTTGCCAAACAGCTGTCTAGCTGCGCGGGGAGCAGACAGGGGGGGGGGGCGGCCTACGAACACCCAAGCCTTATAGACGCCGACAGCTTCAGACCTGACAAATTTTTTAAATTAAACTAGCTATCAGGTGCGATGTTCTTCCGTACTGAGGTCCGCGTAGTTCGTGTTATTTATTATAGTCTTCTACTGTGAGCCGCTTCTCGTGTAGTTGATGCTGCTGCTGCTGGCTGCTGCTGCTGCTGCTGCTGCTCTGCGCTGCTGCTGCTGCTCTGCTGCTCCCGTGGCGAACAGCCGTAAATGATGTCAGTACATTTTGGCGGGCGCGGCAGGAAGATGATGACGGTAATGTGTGTGTGGGGGTGGGTGGGGGAGGGGGTGTGTTGTGGGGGGTGGGTGGGGGGTGTGTGTGTAATGGGGGGTGGGTGGGGAGGGGGTGTGTGTGTGTGTATACGCCGTGCGTGTATGCACGTGCCGTGTGCGTGTGCCTGCATTGTATGTGCGTAATGCGCGCGTGCGTGCGCGTGCGTGCGTGTGTTGGTGCCGCGCGTTACCAAGCTTCCCCGTCGTAGATAGTGTTAGGCGCGCGTATGCAGGCAGATGGTCTTATACTAACGAAGCGCGTAATGCGATGCGAACACGGGCCGCAGCGGCTTCATCCTCCATGGCTTATCCGGCATGGCGTATTTATGCAGTATTCACGGCGGTCGTCGTACCAACACGTTCAAATCTCTGTTCTGCTGCATGTGTCACGTGATTTATTAGCGGCGATAACGTCATCCGGGGGGAGGGGGAGGGGGGGAGGAGGGGAGGGGGACGGCATGACGATTGCATGAAAATTCACGGCGCGGCGCCGGGGGAGGGGAATGGCGAATTTGAGGCAGACGACGATTTCTCGCGGTAAACAGCGTCACGTGGCTTTACATCGTGTTATGTATTGTAATTATGTCGTGCGCGGGCGAGTTTTTTTTTTCGTTCGCGGTATCTTTTGAACTTTTTAATTAGTAGAAACATTGTTAATTGATTAGCTTTATATGCGGTCCGAGAGATTTGATTGATTGATTGACTGATGGATGGATAAAGGGATGGATGGATGGGTGGATGGATGGATGGATGGATGGATGGATGGATTGGATGGATGGATGGATGGATGGATGGATGGATGGACTTGGATGGATGATGGATGGCTGGCCCTGGATTTGATAGGATGGATGGATGGATGGATTGGATGGATGGATGGATGGATGGATGGATGGATGGATTGGATGGATGGATGGATGGGATGGATGGATTGATTGAATAGATGGATGGATGGAATGGATGGATGGATGGATGGATGGATGGATGGAATGGATGATGGATGCCGATTTGGATGGATGAATGGCATGGATGGATCTGATGGATGATGGATGTGGATGGATGGATGGATGGATGGATGAATGGAATAGGATGATGGTTGGATGGATGAATGGAATGGATGGATGGATGGATGGATGGATGGATGGATGGATGGATGGATGGATGGATGGATGGATGGATGAATGGATTAATAAAAAATGGATAAATAGATGAACAGATGGATGAAAAAAAGAGAACGACAGATACATAGAGAGAAAGAGAGATATCGAGTAAGGCTTAAGACCCGACTATTAAGATCATATCTAACGCCAAATGATCACGAAATGGCAAACGATTAAAGGCATTTAATAACTCCTAACTGCAATCATGCCAGCTCCCCGCACCACTCAAACGCACTGCAGCGGTTATTAGCTTAGCACTCTAACCCCCCAACAAAAAATGAACAATAGAACACCATTCCCACACCCACACGCAAAAAACTCGGTAGAAATAAAAAAAAACACCGGTGCGATGTGCCCCGTGGGAGGGTGCGATGCGCGGTGACCTCGCAGCTGCGTGCGCGTGACCCCGGCTGTGTGTGCGCGCGACCAGCTGGCAGTGTTTGACTACTGGCCGCCACGCCGCACCGCTATGTTTACAGACCTGAGTGCTCAGAGAGAGAGAGAGAGAGAGTGAAGTGGGGGAGGAAGAGATAGATAGAGAGAGGGAATAGCGAGAAGAGAGAGAGAGAGAGAGAAAGAGAGAGAGAGAGAGAGAGAGAGTGATCGAAGAGAGAGCAGCGATAGAGGAGAGAGAGAGAGCGAGAGAGAGAGAGAGAGAGAGAGAGAGAGGGAGAGAGAGAGAGAGAGAGAGATGAGAGAGGAGAGGCGAGAGAGAGAGAGAGAGAGAGAGAGAGAGAGAGAGAGACGCGAGCGGAGAGAGACGAGGAAGAGAGATAAGAGCGCGGCGCTGCGAGAGAGACGAGAGAGAGAGAGAGAGCAGAGAAGAGAAAGAGAGAGAGAGAGAGAGAAGAGAGAGAGAGAGAGAGAGAGAGAGAGAGAGAGCGAGCGAGTTTGGTTGGCGCGTCTTTATCCTGACTGACTTTCAACTAGTTTTGACTGATTCCCCGCCAGGCAGCATGGCGCCAGCGCCGACGCGCGGCGGCGGCCGCGCAAAGCCAAGCCAACGCTCTCGCCGACGGGAGCACAAAGTCAAGTAGTGGGCCGGACAAAGGCATAATTTGGCCACAATCGGTCGCCGGTATAATCACCTGTTTGGCTTTGTCACAGTTGGCGGAGCGCGGCTAAACAGCGAACGGACGGACGGACGATGGAGGGACGGTAATCGCTACCGTACATACTCGTTGCGACGCGCATCGTCGCGCGGCGCGTGAAAAAAGGCGGAGACGGCGGCAGTGGCGACGGCGGCGGCGGGGCGGCGGCGGAAATGGAATAAAAATGAGAAAACTCGGGTGGCCGGAGATTGACGGCGGTACTGCGCATGCGCGCACGCGGGGATTAGTTTAATGATGCTGCTGCTGCCGCTGCTGCTGCTTCTGTTGTGTGTGTTGTTGTTGTTGTTGTTGATATTATTGTTATTGTTGTTTGTTGTTGTTGTTGTTGTTGTTGGTGATGATGATGATCGTATACCGATGCGGGAAAGAGAGAGAAAGAGCGAGAGAAAGAAAAAGAGAGAGAGAGAGAAGGAGAACAAGACAGGGAGAGAAAGCGCGCGCGCGCGAGAGAGAGGAGCTATGTTCTCAGCGGAGAAGACAGAGAGGGAGAGGGGGAGAAACCGCGGTAATCTCAATCTCCATGGACCGTTAATGAACATAGCAGGCAGCGGCGGCGGCGGCGGCGGCGGCAGCAGCGGCAGCGGCAGCGGCGGCAGCTCCCTGAGCTCTCAGGTTTAGCCTGTGTTTGTTGTGTGCTGGGGCTGGCGTGTTAGCGCGGGCGTAGTACGGTGGTCTCCTCTCTAAACCTCTCTATCGTAATTTGCTCTCGGTGCGTGCGCGCGCTCGGGCGCCTTCTTCCGTGCGGCTTGTCGCCGCGCGTGAATGCTCCCTGCTAATCTCTCCTCCCCCTCCTCCTTCCCCTCCTCCTCCATCATCCTCCCCCCAGCGCTGACGTTAATCTCTCACTCTTTATCCCCCGCTCACTCATTTTTCTTCTCTCCTTTCCCCCTCCGCCTCCCTCTCCCCCTCCGCCTCCCTCTNCTTGCATGCGCTCGCGCTTAAAACGCAGCAGACGCGCCGGACAAAGCTTTCTGCCGCCGTCGCCGCCGCCGCCGCCGTCACAGAGCTTTTAATGCTTTCTCCGTCCTACGACCACGCGGCCCTCCTCCCCCTCTCCCGCCACCACGTATGTGTTTGTTGGGTAAACACATTCGCACTCTGGGGGCAGACACGCACGCACGCACGCACGCACGCACGCACGCGCGTAAAAGGGAAATAATTCACGATTGTATTATATTTAATAATATATTATATATACATACATATCAAGAGCTAATAATAGGTATTATTAGCTCTTATACAATTATATATATAGAGAGAGCGTGCGCGAGAGAGAAAGAGAGAGGCAAAGCGAGAGAGAGAAAGAGAGAGGCAAATCGAGAGAGAGGAAGAGAGAGCGAGTGCGCGCGAGCGAGTGAGAGAGAGAGAGCGAGCGATAAAAATATTTGTATTTAATTTTGCGTCCGCGTCGTCGTCGGCGTCGTCGGCAGCGGCGGCCTGGGTCGTTCGCTCGGTACGGCCACGAGGCCACTTAGCGACGGTTTATGCGTCCCCGTAGTGCCGTTTGTCCCCCGCGCCCCGAAATCATGAGACAGTTTCGTACGAGTTATGTCGGCTGCCGCCGCCGCCGCCTCGCTATCGTTATTTACGTCTGTCTATATATGCTATCGACCCAAAACCTGCGCGAGCAAATTATGAAATTGGCTCGCTTGCGCGCGCTCTCTCTCTGTCTCTCTCTTGCGCGCGCTCTATCTCCCTCTCTCTCGCGCGCTCTCTCTCTCTCCTTCTTTCTCTTTCTCTCTCTCGCGCTCGCTCTCTCTATCTCTCTCGCTCTCTCTCCCTCTCGCGCGCTCTGCCTGTCTCTCTCTCTCTTTCTCTCTCTTGTCTTCTCTCTCGCTCTCTCTCTATCTCACTCTCTCTCTCTCGCCCTCTCACTTTCGCTCTCTCTCTATCTCTATCTTTCTCTCTCTCTCTCGCTCTCACTTTCGCTCTCTCTCTATCTCTCTCTGTCTCGCTCGCGCTCTCCCTCGCTCTG